TAGCATACTTCACATGAGCAATAGTTATGTCTTTAGTAATCTAAGAAATTATGGTATACAAATGTAAAAATAATACATTAGGGCTATATGTAAGACCATGTGCATAAGGAAACATTAGTATGAAAAATCTCTCTTTTGGATGTCATTCCATCCTATTTCACCCTGTAGCTGTACAGAACAAAACAGTTTTGATACCCATAGTGCCTCTCCGTCAAAGAGCACACAGACATATTTTAGATAGATCTCCCTGGCATAGCTCTGGGAAGCAGGAAAATACCACCTCTGAGCAAAAAGTATTTCTTCCTCTGCCTCAGATCTTTTTATTGTCCCCAGTGGGACAATAGGGATACTGCCCCAAATCATCAGCTCCAGTCCTGTTCTCATCCCTTCCCGTTGGACCTTTCAGGGAATTTGGCCAGCTGCGTTCATTAACCTTAACATTTTTCAGGCTTCAGAAAAGCTACAAATGTGTTAAAGCTTGGTGCAACACAGTCCTGAATTACATTGCACATTGTGACTAGGAAGAAATGTAAAATAAGCAATATAATTTTATGCTGTTCATGGCCCACAAATTACAGGAGGAGGAATAACATAAAGAATAATTTGTGTCCAAGATTTCAGTTTTGAGTGTAAAGAGAAAACAATAATTGGTGTGAATCTCAAATGCAGATCAGTTGGCATAGTTTTCTTTTAAAATTATAAATACTTTCAGATCCAAGTGCAATTAGTAGTGAAAATGTCACAGTTTTACTGTGTATGTTTGTTAATATGGCTGGCATAACTCACTTAGGAGATGCTTTCAGTATAGAGTCCTGTACTACATATATTATAACCAAAAATGCAGTACTTACACGTATATATAAAATGTACACAGAGACAACATTGCCAAACAGCCTTTTGGGACAGTTTAAAAGAATATCATTAATTTTTACTGTATACTTACTCTTCTGGCTCAGTTCCAGCACTGGCTTTCTGTAAAAATCATTTCAAGTATAGAATTATGCTATTTGCTTGCAGCAACATCACAGGAACAGTAGTGAGCCATATGTTGCTACTTAGCAACTTGGTCTGTAAGTCCCAAAGCATGTACTGATTTGAAAATTGAACAGAAATGATAATTATTGTTGAGGGATGCTGTGAGGCAACTTGTCTTGGATTACCAAACTATGCAGATGTTTGATGTTATATAGCAAAAGGAACAAAACTACATTTTTCCTGTCCAATGGCTGAGCTTTTATTTATGTTAGCCTAAAGGGAATAAATTGATTAAAACCCGTAAAATAATATAAGGTGATGTTTTTCTGGATGCAAACACTTTGGAGTAAGCAGAAGGAACTGAGGTGCTTGTCAGCATATATCAGGACCCCAGCAATCCTGCCTCTATGGTCACCTACTCCTGAAGAGAGCCAAGTGGAAACCCCTTGGTCCTTGGTGTTGCATGCCATGACTCAGTCTGCCAACCCACTTCCCAAATAAGCTATGTCAGACTCTGAAATTAGAAAATGATGCTCGTGTCTGACTCAGTCAGCATGACCAGAGCTTGAATAAAGGTTTCTGATCGGACTATGTATCTCTTTACATGTGGGATTCATATTCTAGTTAACAGACATTGATTCATCAAGAAAAGCAGAGTAACTAATTCACTCTTCATTCTGACAGGATTCAACCCCTATCTCTGATCTTGTGAGGGAACAGCCAAGTTATTAAGGGGAAGGAGCCTGCATTCCTCTCACTGAGGTCATGCAATGGCAAGACTCATGAGCACAGGTGCTAAATAGACATAGGACAAAATTATGATTAGAACAACTATGCTTTCATCTGAGAGAGAACATTTCCTCCTCTCTTTTTATGGCATTATGTGTTTTACATAGAGTAACAGTGACAGGAAAATTAACAAACAGTCCTAAAACCGTGGTCAGAAAATACAATTGAATACTATACTCTCCCTAGCCCTGTAAGCTATAATCTTTCATGCTTTGTTTTCAGAGCAGGAAATACTGTATTTTTTTTCCAGGTTTAACCACCAGAATGGATCTTGAAATGGTAGTCCGTTCACCAGTTTTGGCTGACCATCAAATGCTTATGCCCAAGAAAAGAACACCACCCCATGACAGTCAGTGAAGACCTCACAGACACTCAATGAAGAGCTGTTTAGCTCCTTTGAGGAATGACTAGCAGCTGTCTATGTCAGGAACAGGTTTGGGAAGGCTTCTCTCACAGTCGCAGTTTCTCGATGAAACATGAGAGGCAGGTTTCCATCACACCCCATATTCCTGTTCTCAGTGAACTTGTTTTGTCTCCTTTTATTTTTTTTTAATATTTTTTCCAGTGCTGTTATTATTACAGGCTTTCACATATGCTCCAGCCCACACAGAGCTGGAACACCTTTTCTGTGAAGGCAGGAAGGCAGGCTAAAAATGCTGGGGTTGTTCAGCTTGGAAAAGAGAAGGCTCCAGGGAGATCTTAGAGCAGCTTTCCAGTACCTAAAGGGAGCCAACAAGAAAGCTGCAGAGAAACGTTTTAAAACGGCCTGCAGTGACAGGTCAAGGAGGAATGGCCTGAAGCTGAAGGAGGACAGGCATAGATTAGACATTAGGAAGAAGTTCTTTGCTATAAGGTTGGTGAGGGACTGGCACAGGTTGCCCAGAGAGGTTGTGGACTTCCCATAACTGGAAGCATTCAAGGCCAGGCTGCATGGGGCTCCGAGTAACTAGGGATAGTGGAAGGGTTCCTGCCCAGGACGTGGTGGTTGGAACTAGATGATCTTTAAGGTCCATTCTAACCCAGTCCGTTCTATGATTACGTGTTTTCGCTTCAAACCACTGCGACAGCGAAAGCACCAGGAGAAAATCCCAGCAAGGGAAAGGAAGTTGTGACAGCCCAAGGCTGACAGCTACTCTCAACCAGACACAGAAGGCTGTTTGACTGGTGCACACTTGCTAACAAGTTAAAACACTCTGCCTGAGCTGCTTCTTGCCACATGGATACCCCAGCAAAGGACAGAGAGGTTGCTTTTAGGTTTTGAACTCTACCTTGTAGCCAACACCCTGGAGTTCAGCTTTGCCATGGTCAGATTTTAAGTCTGTAAGCCTGTCCTTGGTTCCAGCCCTTCGTAAGAAATCAGGGTTTTCTGACATCTTTGAATTTGGAAATGTCACATTTGATAGATTTATTTTTTTTTCCCTTGAAGACAAAGTCATTTGCATTTAAAATACCTAGACCTGGCTCTTTAAAGGTACTTTAAGAACCTTACTTTCACTGCAATCAGAGAGTGTTAGATGCATAAATATATCTGAGAATCTGGGCCTTGTTAGCACATGCAGAAACCGCATAAAAGATTAAAACTTATACTCTTAATTTTTCAATATGCCATTTAAATTATTTAAGCTACATGCATACACAGTACAAAAACATCAACAGAAGAAAAATAATTCTGATGTATAATGTGGATTTGCAATTCTTTATTCAAAACTATTTAAGACAGACATAATGGTTCTCTGAAAGGTAGCAGCTGCCTGATAACAGCAATCATTCACAGAGTTTGTATTTCTACTGTTTCAAACAAATTCAATTAGCCCTTGCACTTCAAAACCCTGAAGGCAAAAATGAGATGATACTAGGCTGCTTTAATCTAATAGTAATACTAAAACTTGTCAGTACAGTTTTTGGATTAATGGTTAGAGAAAAATTAATAATATAATTTTTCATTTTTTAATCAAACAGTTCTATTCTAAACTACCTCTGGATCTTGGAGGGTTCTTAGCTGAATGAGTTCAATCATGCACAATTCCTAAATGCAAAGTACTATTGGTCTCTAAAGGTATTTCAGAGTGACTTCAACAGAAAGCTGGGAAGTAACATGGTGGAACACTTTAAAGATGGTGTTTTTGATTGAACAATGTACTCATTTTACACAACCTCCTGCTTCCCTGCCCCCAATGAACCTGTCTACCTGAAGAACACTACTTCATGAAGACATTTAGTTTTGAATGCATACTTTCGAAAACTGTTAATTCCTAAGTTACATCCAGCTTATATGAACACAATTACTATGCCTGCAAACTTATTTCCCACCTAATGAGAGTTTTACACATAAGCCTCCTGGTTCTGTCCAGCCAGACACTGCTGGGCTGAAATATTGCATGACATAGACCACAAGTCTGGTTATTCATGGCGATTTCTGACACAACCTAACTGATCTGCAGCACTGTCCCCACCACTTACTGGTGCAAAGTTAAACTGAAACACATGAAGTAAATGAGAAATTCCTCCCTACATACAGATGTAGCAACAGGTAGACAACCCAAAACTTTCAAAACTATTTTTGCTTTTTAAGACATAATTAAAATTTGTAATTCTTAGAAATCTATAGGATCTTTGGGTTCAAGGGAAAAGGTGGAAGATTTTTAAATATACATCCAGTATCATCATTTAGTGTGTATGGTTGCCCAAAAGGAAAAAAGCTCAAAAATACCTTTAAAGAATGCACATCACATTAAACCTTTTGGCCTGTAAGCTACAGAAGGCTAAGACATTGCTTTAACCCCACTGCTAATTGTGTAATAATACCAACATTCCTTAGACATAGGATTAGTGATAAAAGTGCAATTCTTCAACTGCTCTACGAGTGATAATTAAAGCTATTTGTGACATGTATAGCTTATAATGATTAACTTGTCTGCAGTCAGATAAACAAATAACCTGCACCTGTAAAGACTTTATTTCCTGAAGGTAAAACAACTGTTTAGGAAAGATCATGCTGGCAAAACAGCTGCTTGCATTCTGGAGAGGAAACAAGGTAGTATCTTTCAACAAACGCCAACTCTGGTGTTTTATCAGCTCTATCTCATTAACTGGAAACAAGGCTTAAATGCTTTGTTTATAAATTATGATTATTCCTGATTGCAGCAGTTACTGATAGTGCCACTCATTTGCAATGCAACTCTTTGAATTTTTTTAATTACAATTTGAAACAAGGCAGAGAAGATTAATTAACCCACCTGGCTGGCTGGCACGTAGTCCTGGCTTGGTTCTGTCATACTCATATACATGTTCTCACCGTCAAACTGCGAAGGAAATAATAGTAAACATTCAGCAAACTTGATTTTTTAGCATTAACTGAAAAAACCCAGTTGCTATAAAATAATATTACAGCCTGGTTTTAGAGACTTGTAATTGCATGTGTGCATCTTGTCTTTGATGTTCCTGTTGTCATCCTTATTGACCCTGGATGTCAGTGATTTGGAGTAATTAGCGCTCTAGTAATTACAGCTAGCAAGGAAGAAATGAATGGTTTCCTTTCATCTGCAATCTGTTTTAAAACAAAATGCCTCATTTTGTGCACCATGTACACATATTGCTGTTGGTTGCAATGAAGTACCAAGTGAATTGCACACTTACTGAGAAGGAAGATGAGAATAGAATCTGCACTAAAATGCATCTTAATGGGTTCCAACTTTAGCTTCTGAGCAGAACAAGAGTTGAAATTTCAAAACAAATTAAACCTCCTCCAATTGAAATGTTCCCGTATCAGAAAGTAGGAAATACATTTCCAGACAGCTTTCAGACATCTGAACATATGAAAGAGTATACCTCCCATCCGTATGGTGTAAGAGGATAGTTTGCTTGATGTGTGAATAAAGTAAACATTCATAATCAGAACTGCAAAAATAACCATCTGTAAATGATAAAAACCATTCCTGGAAATATATACAAGATATAAAAAGCTTCTTTCCTTTTTTTTTTTTTTCTTTCTTTTTTCTTTCTCTTCTCTCAACTGCAGTTAAGAAGTAACGGAAATGTCATAGAAAGGAGTTGATTAAAATCTGAAGGTCTAGATGGAGAAAAACTGTCAGATCTGAAGCCTCATCCTGTACCAGCACAAAGTGTAAAACTACTGATTTCTTACATAGTCTGGAAAATGTCCCCACAGAACTCTTATCACACCCACTCAAGTGGCAGTGCCAACAGGGCGATGATAGTCCCAGAGTCTGCTCAGGAGCTAGGAAAAATCTTTTCAAACCTTTTAAGTAGAAGTGAACAACAGCAGGAATTCCTATCTCCAGTCATCAACCACAAATTTCCAGCTGTTACAAGGTCTGTTTGAAATAACTTGCACCTGACCCCTTGTGTGAATGCTTAGAGTGACATATTTTGGACATCAGCCATTGTTTCAGATGATGCAGCAGCTTTTTTAAGAAGTCCCTACTACTGAGATCTCTCTGCTCCTACAGAAGATGCCCATGAAATATCCCATGGGCATTTCTTGATCAGCACCGAGCTTCTGGGCATATTCCACCTGCAAGGTGCAGCATATTCAACTAGCCTGAGGTGGCAAAGTTAAACTGTGGCTTTGGCAGATAGCTCTACCAATTTTTGCTGAGGTGGCTGAAAAGGTTTCGGCTTCCAGCTGTTCATCCTTTCTCTGCCAGAGGCTACAAGGCTTGTAACAGCAGCAGTAACATGAACAAGTGCCAGCTCCTGGCACAGCAGCTGATGGTCTGCCCTTCCTGGCCAGAGCTATTTAATAGTCACAGACTATCTGTCAGAAGTCTTAGTTTCATGGGAGGGAAAGGATTATGCCACAGACACAGATCTGCCATAGGGAATAGAGTATTTCCAAACTGGGACAGAATAGAGATAGTTAGATTAGATTATAAAATAGAATTTGATGCTTGTTCCTTTTTTATTTCTTGTTGACATGTACCATTTCTCTTAGCTTCCTCATTGAATAATTTTCTTATTTATAAGCATTCAAAGTAGAGTTTTGGAGAAAAAGTTTTAGTATCTGGATAGGGAAAAAAATGCAGCTTCTTCTACTCAGATGGACAGGTGGAATCCTGAAGAGAGATTTCACAGCCAGTAGTTGGAAAGCAAGCACTCCAGTGCAAGGCCTACAGGAGCTCAGCTTATTCAGCTTGTCAGACGAAAGGCTGAAAGGTGCCTTGATCACTGTGATTGGTACTTACACCCTGGAAAGACGTCTGATAGCAAGATGTCAGCCATCCTGACAGTGGTATAATGAGATCTAGTGTTAAGAAATGGGAGTTACAGAAATTCAGCCCCGAAATAAGATACAAGGTCCTACTTTAGGAGGTAATTAAGCATTATGTCAACAGCAAACTCATCATTTCTCAGACATTTTAGAATGAGGTTTGATATCTTTTTCAGAACAGATGCAATCCGTATCATATTTATAAGAAATCCTATGGAGAGAATAGTTACACTTGCTGGTTATGGGAGTCCTATATACCCTGGAAATCATCATTCCTTGAGTCTCCTCTTTTGAATTTCCCTCGTTATCTTCATACATTTGTTGTGATACATTGCAAGCTTTGCTATCATTCAAATACTGTGTTGCATGTGTTTAGTTGCAGTGGATATGGAGAAATTTCTTTTCCGTTTACTGGCTAGATGCAGTCAAGGATTATTTCAACTTATTTTGCCTTCCATAATGCATGAGACTATGATTTAAGAATCTTTATGAAGTATACTAGTCTTTCATATAATTCCCTCTTTTGTATGTTTGGTCGTCTGTCCTTGCTCCCAAGATTACAACCACCAAATCTGCATTCTTTGAATAATTTCCCTAAGGTATTTTTCCATGAATACTGAAAATTTTATAATTCTGTGTGTTGTTCTTGGATTATCTGCCTACCTAATCAGTGCCTTGCTATTAGTGGTCCCCCTGGCATGATAGGATATTTGATCTCAGCCTCTCCTGTTTGTTGCTTGTGGCCCTCTATTTATCTTGGAAATATTTTTTTTTTTTTTCTGTCATGGTCTGTGGGCTTTATGGGTACACATTTCAGAGAAACCAAAACAGAAAAAATATACATAAATTTAAACTTTATGGCCTTTTGACCTTAAAGAGAAATGTAAGGGGATTGATGTTTACATGAGAAAATACCTTCTGCAACATTTTGGATTAATTTGTTAGGGTAAATTTTCAGAAAAATATATCAATGCATAATGTTTGTAAAATCTGAGTGGCCTGTTAACATCTGAAAATAACCAGCAGCTGTCTGATTTGTTACTTAATTTCTTCAATATTCAAGAATGCAATATTTAGCATCTGCTTGTCAGAAGTATTGTGTAAGATGTCGTGAAATAGGTTATATAGGTCAGCAAGATTTGATGGGATGTGTATTTTCTGTAGTGTTTATATATGCAGATTGTGGACTGTGATGCATCAGCTGACAATAACACTCTTGCTACGTTAGTATTTGTACTACATTTATGGCTGTTTAAATTATCTGCCCTCAGCCCAGTGCAGTGTGGTGCATGGCTACTTGGCAGCTCCTAAGACTTTGGATATGAGCCTGAAAATCACCCATAAACTCCAAGGCATATACACATGCATTTTGTACAGCGGGTATTGCCAGGAGATACCTCCTTCACGTTCTCAATGTTTACTAAAATGTTTATAAAAGACTGAAAATATAATGTTTGTATACCAGAATAAAACAAAATATTTACTGCAATGCTGATTTGCTTATTCATCGTCCCCTTTCCCAAATACCAAAACAGTGTGAAATAGAAATGACCTGTACATCCTATCCCAGCCAAAAAAAGAGTACACAAGCCTTCAATAATAAAAAGTTCAGAAAAAGTTATGTGGCACAGATACAATGCTCACCTTGCCCAAACATGATAATCGCACATCAAAACAGTAAACTGAGGAAAAAATGCCAACAATTGGATCAACTGGAAAATTCTATTCATATTTTTTTCCCATCTGTTTAGAAGCTTCCAAAATATACCCCTAAACCCCAGAAATTAATATGAATTATTTGACCTTTAATAAACTGCTTGGTAACGTGCAGGCTCTGCAGCATGGCACCTCTCAACAATTCTCCACCTGGACTCCTTAATTCATGCTATATCGACCTGGAATTCAGCTTTACAAGTAAGGTGATGTATGCCACAGCAGGTCAAGCAACATGTATGGACCAGAGTGAGTCTAAAGAGGAGCAGATACAGCTCAAAGATGTCTTCAGCTACCATAGTTTTCTTCCAGGTTATACTCTATGCCTCCAAAATTGTCTTATTGTACTCATCATTCTCAGGTTCGCAATCTCAGCTTGTATTCCCTAAGCTTTCCTGCCACTCACTGTGCTTGATTTCAAGCAAGGAAACTGCACAAGCATCACTTAACCCATGGATGATTCATCCCAACAGAACAGATGAAACACAAAGGCAGGCAGTTAAATGAACTCTCTTTTATGAACCTATGTATGATGTATATATATCAGATGACATTTCATATAAAGCTTTCCCAATGTGTCTCCAAGATCTCTCAGTATCATTAAGAGCAGATTTCAAAATCTTTCATTTTAATCTATTAAATGTGAATGCTAATACAATATTCTGGTGTGTGATAATAACTACTCTTGACAACATTTCTTTTCAAATTAAAGTGTAACTGCATGAGAAGTTTGGGTGAGCAAATGAAGAATATGACTGCATTGTAATATGAAAAGATATATAACTGTGAGCTAGTTCTAATATAAATTCAGGATTGTATAATATTCTTTATTTAAATGATTATTATAAATAAAATATACAGGCAACACTATGGCATGGCCAGTTAGAAGCCCCCTCAGAATGACCATTTGTAAGACAAGATGTAATGTTCACCAACCAATATGCACAAAATACCCAACTGTTATTAAATACAATTTCTTCACAGAAGTTAGGGATGAAATTACATAAAAACTGGCTGACTGTAACATACAATAGGTATCACAGATTCTAGCAAATACCCAGAGTGCTAAAGCTGTTTTAATGTATCCAAGGCTGGCTTCTGCCTGCCATTAACGTGGCATCATGACAGAGTCACACAATGTATGGCCAGGAAGCCTGTTTTCATCTTCCCATTTAAGTTGCAAAAAACTTTATCAGCATTTATAACAGTGATTATGAAGTAACAAAGCTTGCAAGAACAGTATTTTTTAATTCATTCTTGATGTGCTTTAAATGAAAAACACCCTATATGGACTATGTCACAAGAATACTATAAACAGGTTGAACAGACGAAAAAGTTTCTCATGGTGGCAACAATTGT